CGTTCTTACTTTCCTCTTTATTTTTTTTTTTATTTTTTATTTTATTTATTTCTGAGAGAGAGAAAGAGAGAGAGAGAGAGTGTGTGAGCAGGGTAGGATCAGAGAGAGAGGGAGACAAATTCCTCTTGCTATGGGCCCAACCTTACTGAGGCACCACAGGTGGAAGGGATTTCAGGGGCTGAGATAAAGGCGTTTTCAAGGCTGGAAGATAAGGAGCTTCCTTTCCTAAGTGTTTTTGTGCTAAGGAACAGATGGGCTTTACAGTGTAGAAGCCAAAAGAGACTTCAATTGGCCTTAAGGGACACAGATCAAGCCGTAGATATACATCTAGTGCAGTGTGCTGTGGGACAAATCCTCCTGATTAGCGAGGGAGAGGGATCTGGGGGGAAAAGGCAGTGAAAGAGAGAGGTTTCAGGTGACCTCTTTCCCAAAGGGCAGCCTGTTGGTCATGAGTGCCTTCTCGAGGCAGACCCTGGTCCCGGGGTCAGGAGTCAGGTGGGGACCTAGTACAAGCAGAAGATCTCTCACCTGAAGGAGTTCCCAGCCTAACTGGGGACATCTAGGCCCTGCTTTCTGGGAAAAGGGCCCGTAGGCGCACACGCGTGCAGGTGTGCACACATATCCATGTACACACATACCCACACAATGTACAGAAGCCACACTCCAAGGAACACACAAGCCAACACGGAGTGAGTAGAGCGGTTGGACAGAAAGCTGACATGGTTACGCTAGAGAGTTTGGAGTGCCCAGAGCTGGGTGGAGTCACCTCTAGGAGAAGCTGATTTTTGTGTAAGGTTTTGAATGCAGGGAGAGGGTTTGGCTGAGAAGAAGAGAAAGAATGTTTCAGGTGCGGTGGGTGTGACCTATTTGAAAGCTTGGAGGTGGAAAAGGATGAGTCATCCCTGCAAAGGTTTGGCCTGTCCCCATTGGAGAGAGAAGTCCATACATCCTGACACAGAAGCTGCCTCCCTTTTCAAAGCTTTGGCAGGCAAGAAAGCTTGGGTTGCCCCGATGACACAAGAGAGAATCAGATAATCGTCTTGAGCACCAAAGGGAAGCAGCAGCCAGGGACGCTGATGGTCTGAGTGGTCGATTTTCTGAGATGGCTTTATGCCCTGAAACACTGACACAGGATGAGACAAGCTGTGTGGACAGAGCCACTGGAATTGCTTGTATGCTGAAGAAAGCATACATTCTCAGACATCTGCTCTTTGAACTGGGGGTTCTGTGGGTGGGCAGATGCCCAATGCACAAGGTAGGCTGGCAGCCAGCTTCACCGAGAAGCCGCCATCCTTTGTTTATGACATATGCGCCCTTCGGGAGAAAACAGTGGGAATGCAGTTGCTCAGCTAGGAGAGTAGGGGCGATTCTGTGGGGTGAGCTGGGTGCTGGGATCACCTCTCCTTATCACTCATAACACCAAGAATCCTCCTCAGAGAGGTGGCTGTGCCTGCTCTAGAGCTGTTCTCAGATCCTCTGTTCCTGTATCACCCGGCCTGCCCCCTCCCCAGGGGTGGGAGGAGGGTCCTTTGAGGACCTTGAGCCCATGCTGCAATGTGGGGGGTATGCAGCCTCCAGGCACCAGGAATCTAAGCACCTCCACCATGAGGGGTGGGTAGAGAGAGATAGTTAACAAAAAGGGACAGCCCAGTCCAGGTCTGGCCCAGCCCCACCCAGAGCCATGCCTTGTGCCCCAGATCGCAGGGAAAGAAGAGACACAGTTCTTGCCTCAATGAGTGCCCGAAGTACATGATGATGGACACTGGCACTGTCATGAGATGGAGAGCTGACTATACTTTACCACGCCCCTATCCTGAGGACGCAGTCAGCCAGGGGACATGGCACCGGGTAGGGCTAAACAGAAAAGGCTTCTTAGGAATGAGTTCCAGAGAAGTCAGAGGATTAGGGAGAAGTGAAAGCTAACAGAGCTATTACCATTGCTCTCATTGAGAACGCCCATGTTCTTGGTGTTGAGCCTGACTTTCCAAGGGCAATGTGTGCTAGCCAGACACCCTAGGGTCAGGAGATGGGAGTAGCACTCCTATTAACAGAGCTCACCTCCTGCCTGCACCTCATTGGTCATCGGGCACAATACAAAGTGTGACTTCAGGCAGGTAACTTCTCTGGACTCCTCCTCGAGCTCAGAAGCTTGACCCCAAGTGCAGCTACCATTCTTCCAGAGAAGCAGTGCAGGCTGGGGTGATGGCAGCCTCGTTCTCACAAGGAAGCCGAATAAAGCATCTTACAGTGGGAGTCAGGTAATCTGACCCCCAATTGCAGATGGACCCCAGGGAGTGCCTTCCGGAGCCACCTGGAGGGACCTGAAGGCCTTGGCGCCCCCCCTTCCCCAGTGGTGAGTGCTACAGCCCACACCTGCATGGCTGATGACACCACTAGGACACAGGGACTGGCTTTTGGAATTATAGGGCATTGCGGAGGTCTTATTCACCCCTGCCTCCGTGGCACAGAATGCCCTACCTCCCACATGGAGACGATTATGTGAGAGGGAGGCAGGCAGGTGCAGGGCATGGAGGAAAAAGATGCTTCATCTGATGACCGATAGAGTGAGTGATGCCACTGCTGACAGATTCCCTTCTGAAAAGGGGTAGAGGCCCCATGGGAGCCTGTCCTCCACTGGGCCTCCTGGGGATGCCTCCCCTAGCAGATGGCCTCCCTGGGGCTCCACAGAACTCTCTGTTTGTCACCACCCCAAGTTTTCCATCTGAAAGCAGCTGGCTGACCCACACCTGCCCTTGGGTGAGAAATCCCTGCTCTTGGGGCAACAGCCAAGTGAACCCTGGCCTGCCAACCCCTGGAAGGGATGGTAAACGTAGGCTGGGTGGAGGAGAGTCAGACGAGACCTGGCTGTCGGCTGCCCCAGGGCCGGACCACACATGCCTAGGGTCCTGTCTGCAGCCCCTTCCCTGATGGGAGCTGGTTCTGGCTTCCCAAGCCCATGAGATTGCCTCCAGACTCCTCCCAACAAAGGCAGCCTTTCTGGGGGGTGGGTGGGGGGCAGCTTCCTGAGAAAGGGAGAGGAACAAGCTGCGTGTGCTCAATTGAGGAGCTTAGAGTAAGTCAGGAGCTCAGGGGGAGTCCCCCTTGGGAGTCAGGCCTGGGCCTGCAGGACACTTCTGGGAGGACCCTGAGGCAGGTAGCAAAGGAGGTGCTAGTGTGGCCTTTGATGTCTCCCCATCTTCCTTACAAGCTTTTCTGAATGCCATGGGCCATGGGTTACTATAGTCACACAGTCATGGAACACTGGAGCTGTCTGGGGCCTTTGGGGTGTACAGAAGCCAACCCCTTCTTTCTACAGAAGAAGTGAGACTCAGAGAGAACAAGTGACTTGCCCACATGTCAGAGCCAAGACCAATGTCAACACCTCTAGGCTCCCAGGGCAAACTGTCTCTGCCACAGCCAATAAGCTTAATGGCCTGTTGATCCTCCATGATGCGGGAGTGGTAATCAGTGGCAGCACCCCCTTCTATGTGCTATGTGATGGTCATCCGGCTGGCTGTGGGCAGAGGAAGTGGCACCAGCCAGAGACACCTGCCACATTCCAAAGTTGCCCCTATGCTATTCCTTCTGCACTCAACCCAGATACTCCAGTCCCCCCACCACCCCAAAAAGATTTGGGAGTCTGAGTGGGTATGGTGGATGAGGAAGGAGCTAATTTTGCCAGGTGAGATCACTGTCAAACCCTTCCCCCTAGACAGGGTTTCAGATTCTGGAGTCTGACCATCACTACAGAGAAAAGAAGTGGCCATCCCCCTTAGGAGGCTCTCACTGGATCCCACTTTCTGTTTATCCCAGAGGGCTCATCATCTAATAAGAGTGTGGGGCAAGCCCTGCTCTAGATGTCCAGAACACAGAGCCATGGCTTTTCCTTCATGTAGGTCCCAGTGTAGGGGACAGGACAGTAGGCAAGATGTGAGTCAGGGTACAGACCGCAGGGCAGTGTGCGTTTAGAGATGGGAGAGATTGCCTTGGGCAGGGCTGGTCAGAAGAGGCTTCCCCAAAGGGCTGAGATCTTGAACTTGGCCTTGAAAGATAGGTGAGATCTGAATGTTGTGGCTGAGAAGGGAAGGCAGACTCTGCAAGGGGCACTGTATGAGCAAAGTCATGGGCATGTCATGATCAGTTGTGTTTCAAGGACAGTAAGACAGCAAACAGACCAGCTTTTGCAGTGTTGGGACTACCCTTTGGGGCCCACCTGCCATCTGCTGAAGGGGAGAATAGAAGCGAGCCCCACCAGCAGTTCAAAACCCAGTTGCGATTTCTGTGATTCAAAGCCATTTTGCCGCTAATAACCCTAATGACACTTTGTCCTCTTGCAGAGCCTATCATTTGTGGGTCTCCCAGCACTCTGAAAACATTAATTAATCTTCACCAGGGCCTTTGAGGTTGATGGCCACCCCTCCCCCCTTCACCATCTGGAGCACCTAGAGGATGAAGGAAGGGACGAAAGATCACCTCGTCACTAGTGGGGGCCGGGCTGACATTCGAAACAAGAGTCCTGCCTTGAATTGGCCTCTAATCAGTGCTCACGGCTCTGTGGCCCTGACCTTGGGACTCTGGACCGGGAATGCTGCGACCCTGCCAGTGTCCCCCCAGTGGGAAGCTTATCCTTGTGGAACATGGAGTCGTGATTCCCTTGAATGGAATGGCGGTGCTCGGAGGCCCTCCAGGCCAACTTCTGACCTGTGGGTGTCAAATCACCCAGAGAGACATTCAGTCAGCCCAGGAAGGGCTCAGCCGTGATTTGCAGAGCTGTCCCCGTGGCAGTCTGCCTGGGCCCTTCCTTGGCCTTGGCTGTGGAGGAGGTAGAGAGACAGAGAAGGCAGGGAGATGATATATTTCCTATCTCCTCCTTCAAGAGCTGAGATCTGGTCTCCTCCATGGGGTGTGGTGGACCTGGATATAGACATGACACTCTGGGGAGGAGAGGTGAGTGAAGAACATGGCCATCACTGTCCTAACCCCCTGCCTCTGTCCTCAAGGTTCCATGTATGATGGCTTGGCCGACAATTACAACAACTATGGGACCACCAGCCGGAGCAGCTACTATTCCAAGTTCCAGGCGGGGAATGGCTCATGGGGATATCCGGTAAGGAGCTGCTTGCATTCAAAAAGACCTGGGATGTTGGGGGGTGGTTTAGGGTTTGTGGCGGAGCAGATCTGCCTTGGCTGCTGAGAAGACTGATACAGGATGGGAAGGGGCTGCTTTGGTCCATGAGGTGAGGCCCGCCAGCCCTGACCAGGTCCATCTGCTCGGCCATTATTTCATAGATGGTTGTTAGTACAGGCTGCTGATTGGGCTATTGGATATTTACGAGTGTCTCAAATGAGAGCATTTTAGAAAAAGCATAAAAGAGAACAGCATAGTTTTTAAGTCCATTTTGCAAAATGTCTGATACAATCATGGATTTGAGAGAAGTTTGAATTCTGGAGGTCCATTTGCAGATTAACTTAAATGTTTCTAGGAAACTCCTGAAGGACCTCTCTGCTCAATATGTGCAGATGACCAAGGAGGGAGCTCTAGAAGTCCCCTGGGGCTAGGAGGGTATGTCCCCTGCTGTGACTCTTGGATAAGAGGGTACATGCTGGAGTGTAGCATTGCTTGAGTTTGTAAGTTGGACAGGGGGTGCCTGGCTGGCTCAGTTGGTAGAGCATGCGACTCTTGATCTCAGGGTCATGAGTTCAAGCCTGATGTTGGGCATGGAGCATCTTTATGTGTCTGTAAATTGGATAAATCTGGATTCAAATTCTAGCTCTGCTACTCACTGGGCATGTGACCCTGGGCAAGATATTTCTACCTCTGGGCCTCAGTTTCCTCATGTATAAAATGTGTATAATAAAGTCTTCCTCATGAGGTTATTTATCATCAGGATTAAATGAAATAATGTGCATGAAAAAAACCCTGATGAAAATTAGTCTTAAGGTCATTTTTAAAAATTAACATAGAGATTATTCTAGATCCTTTAATCTTGGCCCTGTCACTATCTTTCTGTGTGATTTCAAACCACTATGCCCATCCACCCATCCATTACTGAACAAATATTTATTTAGCCCTACCTCTGCACCAAGGTCTGTGGTAAATGCTCTGGCTCCACCATACACACCAGCATAGGATTCTCTTTACTCTGAAATCAGGGGTATTGGGCTAAGTGACACCCAAGTTTTCTCTCTATTTCCAAATTCTATGACTTTCATTTATTTTTGTTAATTTCAACATAAGCCTGTATGGGTCTTGGGAATTCTTTTGTGAAGCATTATGCAGATGGGGCGAAGGGCTGCTTTTCCATGGGGATCTGAGCCACTGTCTTCTTGGAGCTCCAGCTTTCAGTGCTACTTGCTTTGAGGCCACATTGCTTACAGATGTCACCCCTGAGTGTCAGGGTCCCAGGCAAGGAAGAGGGTTTACAAGTTGGGTGTTCTTTTTGTTGTCAGCTTGGGCCTTCCTTCCTAAGTTCTTGCTGTGGCTAATTATGGAGTTTTTGTCTTTCTTGTATGTTACAGGTTAGGGACTAAAGGAAGGAATTAACTACGTTTCCTGCAAATTTATTTCCCTCCCATTTTTTTCTGATTTTTTTATGTCCATTGATACCCTCAGAGCAACATATGGTTGACTGAGCCCATAAGCTGGCAAATCAAGGCACAGATGTGAATAAAGTGCTCTGATACTGAGATGATGACTGTCTGATGACCAGACAGAATCTGACTTAGAGAAAATGACTTAGTAATGCAATATAAAGGATTATATGAGACCCAGGGAAGGCAGATCACTTCAGCAGACTAGCAGTCAGAATGAATAATCATGCTGACAGGGTGGATGTTACATATCTTTACGTGTATTTGATTACACATCAGAGCCTAGAAAGCCTAGGTTCTAGTCTGGCTTCTGCTACTTCGTGCTCTGCGACTTTGGATAAACCTCTCAACTTCTCTGAGTATCAGTTTTCGAATCTGTAAAATGGGCATGAAGCTATCTGTGTGTGCACTTTACCCACAGGTTGATGTTACATTAACTGTGAGGTGTTATCAGATGGACAGGGTGGGGTCATTACACATGGATATTTGTAACCAAGAACTGCAAAGAAACTCTTTGAGAGGTGTTTCTTTAAAAAAAAATCCCCAATGGCCATGTTGGGCATATCTTCTAGTTAATCAACTCAATCCTCAGTAATCTCAGCAGCTCTTGATGCTCGCAAACTACCCTCACTCCTCCCTGCACCTATTTTCTGACAATCCATTAAAATTCCTTCCCTTTCCCGCACCCTAAGGCCCAACCCTTCTCTCTCCATCTTCGCTGGCGGGACTTCAGACATGACTCATGTCAGGGCAGCTGCTGAGGCACGTCCTGTCTCCTCTCAGTTCAGGAGGGGCTATGGGAACAGCGAAGAGCTGAGCACACATGAGGATTTGGCAGAAGGAGGGAGTGAGGAAGGGAGGAAATGGAATAATTGATATTGGAGCCAGGCATATAATCAGCCAAGGACTGGGCAAAACCAAACAAGGCCAGGACTTTGGAAAAAGGCGAGAGGGACAAAAGGTAATAGAGATCAGTGGCGGTGAGATAATCTATGCCTGTGGGATTTTCCCATGGACAGGACAACTGGCACAGGATGATTTCCTCTCCTCTCTTTTGGTGAAACCAATATGGTGGCATCCTCTCCTCTCTTTTGGTAAAACCAATATGGTGGCAGAAAGCAGGGAGTGAGGGGAGCAGGGTGTGGTGGGTCTGTACAAGCCTCGTCAGCAGGTTTCAGCCGTTTCTGAAAGCTGCTGAAGTACCGTTTCCCGCAGATACTTCATGTTCCCTCAGTCAGCCAACATGTATTGAGCAACTCCAGGGCGGGTCAGGGAGCTAGGCACGCTGCGGACGCACAGATGAAGAGATTCATCTGCCTCTGGCCTCAGTGAACTTGCAGTCAAGTTGGGAGAAGCATGGAGGTCAAGAGACACATCGAATCCTGGAATATCCTCGAGTATCCAGTATCCTGCTGGAGTATTGCAGCAGTTCTGCCATTGCTCAAAATATGTCTAGATATATATTTTTTAGATTTTTCTAGATTTTAAAAAAATATGTAACTGTCCATCTCATTTTAGGAGCCATATGAGAAAACCAGCCTCATTTCTTTATTGTCGTGGCCTGTGTTTGATCAGAAATAATTTTAACCCCTTTGAGAACCTCACGCCATACTCCTTGTGCAGATGGGGCTAAAGGCTACTTCCATGAGGATCTGGGGCAGTTTTCTTCGAGCTCCAGGTTTCAGTGCTATTTGCTTTGAGGCCGCATTGCTTATAGATGTCACCCCTGAGTGTCAGCATCCTGGGCAAGGAAGAGGGTTTAGAAGTCAAGTGTTCCAATTGCAAATACCAAATGAACTTCAAGTAACAAAGATCTGAAGCATATATTTTATTTAAATATGCAGAGGATCTGCAGACAATTCCAAATTGAAAGTTCTAAAAATATTTAAAAAGTAGTGGTGTTACCCTATGATTTTATCTTATATCCTACATCAACCATAGCCTTCTAATTTAAGTATGTATATATATATATATGTTTCTATATAAATTATCATTTATATACGATATATAATTGTACCATTTGGAATCTGTGATCACTGATATTGCAAATTAAGAAAATTGAACAGAGGAAGTCTTAAAATAAAACTTAAAACATTTAGTTAGTGAGACACACAAAAAGCATCAAGGGGCTTAAGGAAAAGAAAAGATTGATCCAAAGAAAGTCATTGGTCCAGTCAACACCCTGCTGGCCACTCCAACCTCCCCTTCCTTCTGGAGGACAGCAAGAGGCTCAGGGTCCCAACTTCAGGGAGAAGGAGGAGCAGGGTGAGATGGGGCATAGGATGGGGCAGGTTTTAGCCTTACTGCTCAATTTCTCACATAAATAGGCTCTGCTATTCTGTTCCAGCTCTCAGAATCAAGCTAGTGGAATATTAGAGCCCTAATGAGGTTTACATGTTTCGACTGAGGATACCCAGGCCCAGAGAGGATACAAGGCTCATCGAGGGTCACACAGCTGGTTAATGCGACAGCGGACTAGACCCCTCATCTCCTAACTCCTAGTCTAATGGAATTTTGTTTTCTTTACTCCAGACTTTTGATGGTCCTTTTATGTGGGGTTTTGGTTTGGCTTGGTTTGGTTTTCCATCTCGGTATTTTAACACTACCACCATGTTTTCGGGACCTGCAAGAGATCGGTGAGTTTGGATCCCTTAATTTCCTCCCTCCTCCTGTCCTCCCACCGAACGTGCTGATCCCTTGAGGAGTCAGCCCAGCTCAAACGAAGCAGGAGAGTGGCCATTTTTTTCCTTCCTAAACTCAAGCAGAATTCACTCAGCTGTAAGGGTTAATGGAGGTCAGGGCAGGGGTACCAACTAAAACGCAATGAAATACAATATTTGGGACATATTTATACTAAAAAATTATTCATTGTTTACCTGAAATTCAGGTAAACAGGGTATCTTCTCACACATTCTCTATAATAAAAACGAGACCTCCTGAAAGGCTCCTTTCCTAGCCCAGGGCCCAAACATAATTACCTCAGGCCATAGCCACCTCTGGGGAGAACATGGAAGCTGTTTGAATCCTGTTAGGGGTCCTCAGATTGGGTCCCTTGAATACCTTCCTCTGGGTCCACTGAGACCAAGATGAGGGGAGCAGAGAGCTAGAGGCACTGGAAGGCACAGCCCTTCTATTCCCAAACTGGAAATGGGGTTTGTCATAGATGAAGCTGAGGCAAGTGCACAATTTTGATTTCTAGGGAATGTTTCTGGATTAAGACAATCTCCTTTTCTATCAGCTCCAGCTCAAAAAAGTTTTCCTACTTATTAATCAGGAAGTGCATCTTGAGCTTCAGATGTTCTGGGAGTCACATCAAGTGAAATGTTCTTTGGTTATGGATTGAACTAGACCATCCTGCCCAGGGGCTGATTCACAGAAGAGAGAAGCCATGCCAAGCCTCATCAGCCAGAAGGTCTGGGCTAAGGGATACTTTGAGGACCGCCATATTGAATCACTCAACTGTGCTCAGTTAAATCCAACCTGATGCTCCTGAGAGTGAGAATCCCCAGGAGTCTA